AGCGCCTGAGCGCGCAGCATCAGCAGGCCTGCTGGCCGAGCCAGCGCCCGACCGCCCTGCTCAGCAGACCGGCGGTCCAGTCAAGACCTGTTCAGTCCGGTTCAGACCGGTTGGACCGGTTCAGCCCTTAATTTTATGTTTTTGGTCCTGATTCATGTTAGTCTCATTTTCAGTTATAATTTCCGGGTTCAGTTCAGTTCAGTTCAGTAAATTAATATCTGTTCAGTTCCGTATTTAACCTGTTTCAGTTATACCGATTAAATCCGAATATCATGTTAAGTCCAGTAGAGCATCTTAACATAATTAATCAATTAAATTATCAGTCTGAGCATAGTCATTAGTAAATGTTTATATTATATTTCAGTTTGATCAGGCATCAGTCGTCAGCACTACCTTTCATTTTCACGGATCAGGTGGGGACTCAGACTGAGTACTACATTGATTATAATTACGCTACCATGTTTGAGGTATGTATTATCAGTATCCGCTCGGAATGGTCGTCGGTCCATTCTGGGTTCTAGTGGCCTTAATCTGCCCACTAGAGTGTGCACATGGTGTCCGGCTATGTCGGCAGATGTTCAGTTATCAGTCAAGTGATTTATATCACGAGATCAGTATCAGATTATTCAGTACCGGTATCAGATATCAGTTATCAGTTTCAGTTTCAGTTCAGTTATATATGCCAGGATCATTTTATTGTTATTATTTTCACTATTTACTTTAGTATGAGTTTTTGCGGAGCACAGTGTTATAGTGCTCACGCCCCCACGTATTTCATGTTTTTTCAGGTCGCAGAGTCGGGAACGAGGAGTGAGTCGGCGAGCGGTTCAGGACTTTTGTTGATATGTACATATTATGTTTTGGCTACGCTAATGTTTCCGCTACAGTTTCAGTACTTAACTCAGCTTTTGACCCAACCTTAGTCGGTTAATATATTTGTAACCGTTTTGATTATCAGATTAAGAATTAACGGTTTTCAAAATAAGTCAGATCTTACGGTAACACTCCGAATCAGTTTTCGCAGAATAAATATTTTATTTATTTATTTAGAAAATTTGCGAAAAGCGTACTCTGAATTTCAGTAAAAGGCGGGGTGTTACAATATCGACCTGTGTTTCCCCATCAATAAAAGCCCCAAGAACCTCCAGCTCATTCAACTGGGCTATCATAGCAAGAACATGTTCCCACACGGGAGTGCCCTCGCGCATGGTCATGTTCATCAGAACCCTCATGGCTTCTTGTCGGGCAGCCCGCGACTGATGACCAAATAACTCCTTGAGATTGAGAAGCATCTCTGCTGCAGTGTTCATAGACTGATGTTGATGTTGAAGTACATTTGACAAAGATGTCAAGATGTAACACTTCGCCATCTCGTCAGCCTTTTTCCACCGAGCATACTCCTATTTCTCTTGGTCGGGTGCATTGTCAGCAGGCACAGCCGGACAAGCCTCAACAGTAGCAAATTTGTACCCTTCAGCAGTTAACATTATATCCAAGTTCCTTTTCCAGTCAATATAATTGGGACCAACAAGTTTGTTTTCTTTGAGAATTACGGACAACAGATTGAAAGACATTTTGAATTCCTGGGATCATGCAAACATAGTCTTTACTCAGTTAAGTAGTTTTGAATTTATACATCAAATGTTGATCCCATTAAACAACATTTGATTAAATTCACCAACACCTCAAAACACCGAATCCCCGCAGGCCAC